CCTTTGCAGGTAGTGGGAACCAAGCACTTGAGCTATCAGCTGCTGTCCCCCAGAGTGTGTGCATCAGCAGGAAGCTGGGGTAGATGTGCAGGTGAAATTCAAAGTCAGCCATTTGGATACAGGATGTGGGAGTCCCGAGTGCTGGCCAACCTCCTGTGCCACAACATCTACCCTATACATGTACTTAAATTCCATTGTTCAATGAGCCTTTTAAAGAATTCCTTACTATAATTGAAAAAAGTTATAAAAAATAAAAATGGTTTGAATCACTATAAAAAGTGAATTAAGTTACCATGGAGCAAAAGGCCGTAATTATTCAATTTAAATACAAGATAAAACCCCTATTACCTGTTATTTTAAATTCCTGCATAATTTTGTTGTTACTGTAAATTTCCAAATGTTCTCAAAAACTGCTTTACATGCAAATGTATCTTTTCCTTGGCACCTCTCTTTTAAATTTATGTGTCAGGAAGAGAGAGACAGAGAAAGAGAGAGAGAGAAGCTTCCATCCTGTGGTTCACTGCCCCAGTAGTTAGCTGGCCAGGCTGAACCCAGGAGCTGGGAACTCCATCCAGGTTTTCCCCATTGGTAGTACAGCTCCAAGTGCCTGGACCATCTTTAGCTGCTTCCCAGGTCTGTTAGAAGGGAGCTCCACTGGACATGAAGGTAGCAGTTTAATATACAGTCCCCCATGCTGGCCCCTGGTGACATGTTGTAAGCAAACGTCTTGGCCCCTTTTTTTACTCCTCTTGATAAAGCACAAGCATGTATGCCTCCCCCTCACTCCCGCTCAGGGCAGAGTATGAGCAGCACCAAAGTCAGTCTGAGTTTTCTACTTCTTCGCTCAAGTTCAGGGCAGGAAGGATTAAGGAAAAAGGGAAGAGAGATTGACAGTGATGGAGGGAGGGGTCTCTTAAAATGGAGGAGTCTAACCAAAAATGCGATTTTCATAGGGAAAATAAATATTCCATATGTGCTTTTGGCCCACAGTAGAACTGTTTTTCAGGAGAAAGGAAGGTGGGGAGTGATCTTAAAATGCAGGAGCTTCTGCTCGATTCTGTACTATAGTCAGAATTCTGTAGTAAATCTTTAGGGCTACGTCCTTTTAAAATAATTATCTGAAGTGCAGAGAGACGGAACGAGGTGGACAGAGCCCGCCCATCCACTGGGTCAAATGGCCACAGCAGCGAGGGCTGGACGCGGCTGAAGCCAGAAGCCTGCGACTCTGACTCTTGTCTGAGGGACAGGAATGTGACTGCTCGCGCCCTCGCTGCTGCTTCACCGGGTAGGCATTGATCACAAGCTGGCATCTGAAGCAGAGCCAGGACTCAGACTTACACTCTGATCCCAGACGCACGCATCCCAGGCAGTGTCCTAACAGCCGAAAGTCATGCCCGCTCCTAGGGCTAAATTGCGAGAGACCAAGTATATTCAAAAGAGGAGCCCCATAAAAGGTGTAAAATTCCTAAGAGTTGGAGGAGTTCGGTGTGGCCGGAGTCTCCGTGCCTGGCTGGCTAGGGCTTGCATTTCAGCTATGATGCGAAGTATGTTAACTTAGGACACTCTATTTTAAAAAGCTGTTTCTTTATACATTCTCCTTCTCCCTCTCCGTCTCCTTCTTCTTCAGAGAGGAAAAGAGGCAGTGAGGAAGATCTTCCATTCATTGATTCATTCCCTAAGTGGCCGTGACAACCAGAGCTGAGCTAATCCGAAGCCAGAAGCCTGGAGCTTCTTCCAGGTCTCCCAGTGAGTGCAGGGTCCCAAGGCTTTGGACCGTCCTTGACCGCTTTCCCAGGCCACAAGCAGGGAGCTGGGTGGGAAATGGGGTCATCAGGATTAGAACCAGCGCCCATATGGGATCCTGATTGTGCAAGGTGAGGACTTCAGCCACTAGGCTACAGCACTGGTCCCTCTATACACATTCTTAATAAAACAGATATCATTTCTCATTTTAGTTTTCTAGACAAATGTAGAAGCACCAGGCAGGAGTTAAATAAAATCCATGAAAATCTGGAATGATTGGATATTGAAACATGTTCCATGGAAGCAAGGAGGATTGGAGCTGTTTGAGCACTTAAAAAATCCGCAATGTACTGCCTCTAAAAGCATCCAAAGAGAGACTAAGCACTTTTCAAAAAAAAGGGTATTGCTTAAAAAGGGATTTTCCCCCCTTCAGTTGTATTTCCCCCCCCATGTTTGTATTTTCAAATGTAAGCAAAGTCCATTGTAATGTCAATTCTCTCGCTAACCACAAGGTGGCAATCAAGGTCTTATCTTTGGGGAATAAACTAGCCTGTTCACGAAAAAGCGCATTGAACATGTAACTAAGTAAATCTATAAAAACTATGTTTAAATTCAATAACCCAGACAGAATAACACAAACACACAATCAACGAATGTACTCAGCAGGAAGGTTTTCTACACACGGGGAGGAAAGGAACGCCAGTGTGCTAACAGGAATGGAACTTGCTTTAGTGAATTAAAACACCTGCTTACAGAAACCAAACAGTAAAGAAACTTTAAAACAGTGTGTTAATCCCTTAGTAGATAGAAGAGCTAAGTTCAGAGTGTATTTTGTAAGTACTAAACATTTTTATTTTTGTGTCGGGTATAATACAGATGTTAATATATTAAAAAAAAAAAAAGAGAAAGAAGAAGAAAAAGGACAAAGGAACAATAAAATATGCTGTTGGGGCCAGCTGTGGCATATTGGGTTAAGCCACCACCTGCAGTGCTATAACCCCTTATGGGTGCTGGTTTGTGTCTTGGCTGATCCACCAATCCCTGCTGATGTGCCTGGGAAAGCAACATAAGAAGGCCCAAGTGGGACCCTCCACCCACGTGGCTGAACAGGAAGACACTCCCAGTTCCTGGTCCCTGGCTTAGGCCTGGTTCACTTATGGCTGTTGTGGTCATTTGGGAAAAGTGAACCAGCAGGTAGAAGACCTCAATAAATAAGTCTTTTAAAAAATCTTTACTGTTGATGGAAAAAAAAAAACTTTCTAAAAGGGAGATTTGATTTGTTCTTGCAATTGGGCCTATGCAGAAATATGGCCTATTTCAACATTTACCTGAAAAAAATTAAGTTTTTAATACGCATCACTTGAATTTCAGATAACACTTGTTGTTTATCAGTAACCTCACACACACACTGGATGCTCCCTCTGTGCCTCAGTTTCTCTCACGGGTCAACTGGAGATGGTATCTAACCCCGCCCTTATCGCACTTCTGTGAGGCATTTTGGGGTGGTGCCAAGTTAACATGGCAAGAGGGTGAGCCGTGCTGGGAACTTGTCTTGAAGCGGAGGTGGCAGACAAGCCACGCAGGCTGACCTGTGGCTTTGGTGGAGTCCGGGGCCTCTCACCTCCCCAGGGTGGCCGACGTTGTGTCAGGAAGGAAGGGAGAGTGCTTCTTACTAAAGGTACCAGGCATGTTGGTCCCTGCTTCTCTACACCTTCCATTCTAAGAGCACATGAGGCTACCAGGCTTCGAAACTGCGGGTTAGACTACCTGCTCACCAGACAGGAAAGGCTCAGATTACCGGCACCGATTACTCCTTCATCATGTTAGGTACAGAGTAACACACGTCTTTTTTTTGTTGTTGTTTTTTTTAAGATTTATTTTATTTTTTTTTTTTATTGCAAAGTCAGATATACAGAGAGGAAGAGAGACAGAGAGGAAGATCTTCCATCTGATGATTCACTCCCCAAGTGCCCACAACGGCTTGAGCTGCACCATCTGAAGCCAAGAGCCAGGAGCTTTTTCTGGGTCTTCCATGCACGTTCAGGGTCCCAAGGCTTTGGGCCGTCCTTAATTGCCCTCCCAGGCCACAAGCACGGAGCTGTATGGGAAGCGGGACCGCTGGGACACAAACCGACGACCTTATGGGATCCCGGTGCATGCAAGGTGAGGACTTTAGTCACTAGGCTACCTCACTGGGTCCAGGATACATAGTTTTATGCATGCATAACATGAATACTCAAAATAACAGATTTCATTGCCTTCTGATTTTTATCTTTTACTATTTCTCTAGAGAAAAATACAAGCTACTGATTAGATTTTTGACCTGTTGTTTCCCATGTTTTGGTGGAAATAAGCATTTGGCTGAATAACCAAGATAGTCAAGACAATTGAAAAGAAAAAGGTCTTCAGAAATGAACACCTCACGAAATGATTGATCACTGAATATTTATGGACTGCTTGAAATGATAATTGGCTTCTATTAATAGTAACTAAAACATGTGTAAAATTCAAGTATTTGCATAAAATATTCAAGACTGTCATTTGTACTTGCAGTTTTCCATCACTGTTCATGACGGTCTCGGAGAACTCAAGGCACAATCCCTGCATTGGAACACACCTTCATACAAGTGTACATCTCAGGGTAAATTTCCAAAAATCAACTGCCTTTGCCTTCAGTCTTAATTTACACGTGAGCAAGTGTGCATCTTTGCTTGGTGTTTGCCAGGCACCAGCGATTGCCTCTGCCTCCGTCCCTCTCCACAAATAGAGGCACTGCTACCCCACAGGTGCTGAAAATCAGGAAGGAGAACGGACAAGTGGCTACGTCTGAGCATGTCAGCGGCTGCGTCTCCAGGACAGGGTGGAGCTGGCTCATCGTGCCAGGCAGACGGCGCGGGGTGGAGCCGGGAAGGGAAAGCAAGCAAAGGCACAATGGGACTAAAGGGCACGTGGTCGTGGTTGGTGTTTCCTGACCGGCGAATGAGCACTTTGTGGTTTTTTCAGGTCTCCATCAGAGATGATTGAGAATTCTCTCGAAGGCTGTCAGGCATGAGGTGCACCTGACCTCTTGCTCAGGGATACTTGAATGTTCATGGCCATCAGCTTGAGTGTTACCTACGTATTCTCGTTTTTGACAGGCAGAGAGGCAGAGGGGTCTCCCAGCTCACTTTTAACTTAGTCCAAACCTTAATTCTATCCCAGAGGACAGCAACACTACACGAATGAAAGCATCCGTTTGCATTTTCTTTTCGTGTGTGTGGGACTAGGTATTTTTGTTTTGTGTGTGTGTGATCCTTGTGCAGGGGCCATGCTAATCTTCTCTGTATTGTTCCAATGTTAGCGCATGTGTTGCCAAAGTGAGCTTTTTCATAGATGTTTATGTAAAGGTGTAAGGTGTGACTCAAACACCGGCCTTGAAGACCCCTGCTGTTTCAGACCATTTTAAATATCTGCTGCCCCCAGGTCTGGGCTTCCTTAAGATTCGGGTGCCCTTTAGGTTTAAATTTCCTGGTCAGCCAATCTGCTGTAACTTCCTAACCCCGTTCCCGCCAATCCGCTGTAACCTCGTGGTGGCGCTGTGCCTGCGGGCTCTCTCCATCAATTCCTGGCGGCCTCTCCCCTTAGTCTTCACCCTCTGCCACCTACCAATCCCCTACAGCCCCAACTGTCCTACCCCCCATCCCTCCTGGCCTCGTGATCCTCGTCCCAGCCATAAGGTGCCCTTCTCACTCTCCCCTCTCCCGCTTCCCTTGGCGCCCTCGGCTGGTACTACAGCAGGAGACACATCTCCCTGTCTCTGCCTCCGTTCCCATCCCTGTGGCCAGCATCCTTGCTGGAATAAAACCTCCTGTGTAGCTCGCTGGGTCTGGCGTATCGCCTTGTGGCAACAAACCAAAAAGAGCTAATATCAAAAAGAGCTAATGTCAAAATATCGAACAGAAGGGAACAAATCTCCTGTATTTTACATATACAGCTTTTAGAGCATAACTACTTTTCATTTTTTTCTCCTTCCCTCCCTCTTTTGCACCCTCTCTCTTCCTCCCTTTCTCTTTTGAATTTTTACGATACAATTTCAACTTATTTTATAACCACAAGCTTATGCCTCCACTAAATAAGAGTTGATTTTCAAGTGCGTGCTAACAGTGGAGGGTGGCACTATGAGGTCTTGTAGCGGTATGGTTTGCTGCGGATTTTGTTCTCCCAAAGGGTCGTGGGTTGGAAACTTGACCCCCAGGTGATGCTACCGCAAGATGCTGTGGACTGATAAAAGTGGGCGGTAGTGAAAGATCTTTGGGTCAGCTGGCGTGGTCATCTCTGCTCCTGATTTAAGAAGTTATCACGCGCCTGCTTCCTCCATTGCACCTGTAACATGAGCGCTTGCGTTGTACTACTTGGACTTTGCAAAACTGTGAGCTGAATGTGCCTCTTCATGAGCAGCCCCTGACAGCTGGCTAATATGTGCAGTGAGAACGTAAGATCAGTCACTGATGTGCAGAGATGGTTGACCATTTTCTACTCGAGTCTCTGTGAACTGAACTCTCTATCACACTTTATGCATTTCAGTGATGCAAGACTTCTTGGTGATTATCTGAAAATAAGTTGAATTTCACCATTCTTCATGTCTCTATTATGCTTTTTCATGTTTATATATTCAGCATTCATGCCACATTAAAATTAGATACGTGGCACTTAGTTTTGAAATTTTGAAGACTATTCTAAAATCAATACGAAACTTACAAACAGCAAGTACCATTTGATCTAGGTAATATATTCTCATCAACCACCAGATGGCATAAGGCGTGAGGATTTTATTCTGACAGGATCACGACGCGCATGATAATTTGACCTACAAGTTCAAAATAATGTATTTGGGAAAATGTCTGAGCTCTCAGGCAGTTTACGACGGTTTTAGCCATATGCAGAAGTGGGTGAGTTGAAAATGACATGGTCCTCCTTTCCCTACATCTCTGGGTTCTGTGTGATGTTGGCATTACACAATGAATCAATGATCAAACAAATAAAAAAGCAGGTCTGTTAAAGGAAATCAAACAGGAAGTCATGTCAAAGCAAAATTCACCTCGTTTTCTAAGTGAGTTTCTACAACTCTATGAGAAACTTGAAACGTGCTTTCAAAAAAAGAATGAAAACATGCTTGTACTCCTTCAGATTCTTAATAAAAACTTTTCTACTGCCTGTAATTTATCTTGAAAGCTGAAAAGCATCTAATCAGAAAGGTTTTTTTTTTCTCTACGTGGACTTGAAGGAAGTTATTGCAGAAGTCAATTGAAGAAAGTTTAACTTAAAATCCAATCCATACTATCATGCTAACGGCAGGAAAATTTAAAAGGATTTTAAGATCTTCATTCCCTATGCAAATTCAAAATAAGACATGCTTTTTCTATTAATCCTGGATTTCATTCTTGAAGAGAGAGCACATTACTAACAATAAGTTAGAGTTAAAAAAAAATAGGGGAGGGCCTGGCACCGTGGCCTAGCAGCTAAAGTCTTCCCCTTGCATGCGCCAGGATCCCATATGGGTGCTGGTTCTAATCCCAGCAGCCCTGCTTCCCATCCAGCTCCCTGCTTGTGGCCTGGGAAAGCAGTCAAGGACGGCCCAAAGCCATTGGACCCTGCACCCGTGTGGGAGACCCAGAAGAGCTCCTGGCTCCTGGTTTCAGATTGGCACAGCACCGTCTGTTGCAGTCACTTGGGGAGTGAATCATCGAATGGAAGATATTTCTCTCTGTCTCTCCTCCTCTCTGTACATCTGATGTTGTGATAAAAATAAATAAATCTTCAAAAAAATAGGGGAATGCAGCAGTTGGCATCTTTAATTCCCCTAGGTTTAAGGAATCATCATGTTCACCCAGTAGTGATTAAGGTCCCCCTCTTCATTTGGCCCAACACTTAATGATTTCTAACGATAATATTTAAATTTTTTTTTCTGGGCCCAGCATGGTAGCCTAGTAGCAAATGTTCTTGCCTTGCATTTACCACGATCACACACAAATGTAGGTTAGTATCTTAGGTGCTCTACTTCCCCTTCAGTTCCCTTCTTGTGGCCTGGGAAAGCAGTGGAGGACGGCCCAGAGCCCTGGGCTCCTGCACCCACATGGGAGAACGAGCTCCCGGCTCCTGGCTTTGGATCAGCTCAGCTCCGGCCGGCTGTTGTGACTTCTTGGGGAGTGAACCGGTGGACGGAAGATCTTTCTTTCTGTCTTTCCTTCTCTCTATAAATCTACCTTTCTGGTAAAAATAAATAAATCTTTAAAATGCTTTTTCCTGTGCACCTCCTTGATAGACTTACTATATTTTGTAAATCTGTACAAGGAGAAAACGATGCAGAAGGATGAGAAGGACGGAAAGCTAACCGCTGACACACAGACGGTTTTGTGTTTCAATCCTTATGTCATGGACTGGGGCAACAGGGAACCGATGGGCGTGAGAGAGCTAACGGGGAGGGCATTTGACATTGAGTTCGTTGGGGTTCATGACCTAGATCTATCTTCAGCAGCCATGGTGTTTCCCACCCGAGATCACATGAAAGGAAAAACTCACAGCTCCCTTCTCCCTGTGCTTAGGAGTAGAAAATGGCAACACTGGTGATTTCTCTTGAGGATTCAGTAAATGGCAGAAATAGAATAATGGCCATTTCAAGTGAATGAGATCATCCATTGAAGGCACTTAAAATTTCTTACTTGAATTTCCATTCTTCAGGATATTGTAGTTCGCGTTTCTTCCATTTATAATACTGTCCGATGAAACTTGTATCTTCAAGCACTGAAATCAGAGCATTCGAAAAAAAGTTGTGCACACATTAGCAATAGTTAAAAGTGGAAAATAACTCAGTTCACGTTGTGTTGGTATGTGACAATAAGACACATTATATGGTTCACGTCATGCCGCAGTGCTTAGAAACTTTCCAAAGTTCTTCCTTTTATTGGGCCTTTGGAAGATGCTGTTTGAAATAAGTAGATGGTGTCTTGAAAATTGTTTTTACTATAATGACATTTGTTTATACATCATTTATGTTGTTAAATAAAATTGGTAGGAGGTCATTGTTTTGACTGTGCTCTTTCCTAAGCCCCCAAAGGCCAAACCAAAATGGAGTCATTTACCCTATGTGCCTTGAAACCAAGCTGAAACTTTCAAGGAAACAGATAAGTTTTTCTTAAGAAATTCATAGCAGCCAATTATTAGAAGGGACCCTGGAAATCTGAACCAACATGAGAAGGAAGTCCCTTCTGGTTTCCTGGTTGTAAGGTAAGTAGTGTGAAACATCCTAATGCGAACGGATCCATTTTTCCACTTATTCTGCGTCCTTGTTCCCATTCTTCATGCCCTGTGCAAGCATCTGCTTAGCCGTGGCCTCTGGAACAAGGACCTGTTCTTTAGGTGACATGCCAGCTACCTGAACCATGAACCACTAATAAAAAAACAACTAGATTTTTCAACTTGTTGAAATTTTGTGTTTTTTTTTAAACAATCATGATAAATTATCAAAAATAACCCATAAAGAAATCACAGACATCATAGTTTAAGAAGTTCATACTTGAAGTAGAAAAATAATAATTTTGGGTCAGCACCAAGGGGCATGTGCAGCTGCTGTCTGCAGCACCAACATTGTATATGGACGCTGGTTCAAGTTCCAGCTGCTTCACTTCCCTATCCAGCTCGCAGCTGATGTGCCTGGGGAAACAGCAGAGAATGGTCCAAATGTCTGTGCTTGAGCCCCTGCACCCACATGGGAAACCTGGGGAAGGCTCCTGAATTCAAGTTGTCCTAGAACTAGCAGATGGAAGATCTTTCTTTTCCCCTCTCTCCTCTCTATCTCTCTTTCTGCCTTTCAAATAGATAAACAAATCCTTAAGAAAAAAAGAAAAAGCAAGCTGGAAGAGACGTCACAGATTTTTAAAAATGTATCTTTGTCTACTTGAAAATCAGAAAGAAAGAGAATCTTTTACTCACTAATTCACTTCCCATAATGTGCACAGCAACCAGGACTTTCCATACAGTTCTCCCAAATGATGGAAGCCATCATTTGCTGCATCCCAGGAGGCAGTGGCAGAAAGTGGGATTGGAGTGGAGCAGCCTCAACTCAGGCTGGCTCTCCATTATGGAGTGCAATTGTTCCAAGCAGTGGACTTACCCACTGTTACAGAAGGCAAGCCCTGAAATTACAGATGGTAGAATCTTAACAGATGAGCATCCTGGCTCTGAATTAACTCTTTGTCAACACACAGAAAATGCTTCACCTTGTGTTTGGGAAACTGCCTGTCCCACTGGTGGGTAACAAGGGCTACAACATCCTTCCTTAGTCTTCATGATTCATAATTTTACTGCTCTTAGTTCTGACTCAAGG